CCCACTCCTCCTTTCCCCTCCCCCTCCCTAAACTCCCCTTTCTCCCTCTGATTTTTTTTTTTTTTTTTATTAATTCGGCCAAATTCGAATCGTTATTTAATTGATTTAAATAAATAATAAATACTCATCATCATCATCATCATGTCGACCGAGATCGAAGAAATTGACTCATAATAATAATTCCGACTATTCTACACTTGATTATTTCTCGGAATGTTTTATTATTATTATTATTATTATTATTATTAATATTAATTTTTATATAAATAAAAACGCGTTTTTAAAATTATAATTTTAAAAAAAAAAATAATTTATTCAGATAATTTGTGATATAAAAGTTGTTGTTGTTGTTGTAAATGTTTTCTTTTTTTTCTTTTCTCCTCTTTTCGGGGCGGCCATTTTGAAAAACAAAATTTTTGGTTGTTGTTGTTTATACCATTCGAATCGGGAAATAATTTATTCGACTAATTGGTTGTTTTGTTTGTTGGAAGTGCAATTAATACGGGTTTTTATTATTAAAAAAAGTGAACGTACGTAGGCACGCACGCACCCATGCACCCATGCACGCATTCACGCACGTGCGTGCGTGTTAAATCCCCTCAGATTTGATTTTTTTATAAATATTTGCTTACACTCGATCGACATTTTGTTTTTTTTTTTTTTTTTTTTTTTTTTTTCGGTTTAAAAAAATTGAGGGTCATCTTGTTAAGACCGAGGTCTCCTCATCGTCGTCGTCGTCGTCGTCGTTTTTATTTTCTGTCCTTTACTTACGTTTAATATTTTTATTTTAATTTACAGAATGTCTGTCTATTGTTAAAAAAAATGAAATTTTAGTAATAGACTCAATTATTATTATTATTATTATTATTATTATTATTATTATTATTAACGTTAAACGTCGTTTGTTTTTTTTTTTTTTTTTACAAAGATTTGGAACCGAATTCATTTTCCCCCCCGCCTCTCCTCCTTCCCCCTCACTTCACTTTATTTCTTCGATTTCTAATAATAATAATATTTTTAGGTTAATTTGCCAAAATGAATTAAATTAGTCAAATGAAATCATTATTTCTCGTGATTTGAATGGGGGGGGGGGAAGGGGGAGAAGGGGAACGGTTTTATTTTAAATTTATATACGTATTCGAAAAAGGGCAAGGCAATCCAACGAAGAACGAATGAATGGGTGAATGAATGAATGAGTGAGTGAATTACGCAATCGTAATAATCGTTTGCAATTTTTTTATTTTTTCCTTTTTTCACTCCCCCCCCCCCAAAAATAATAAAAAATAAATAATAAGAAAAATTGTGATTCATTTTTTTTTTTGATGAGAAATTTTCGAAGGTTTTGAATTGTGCCTGACCTAGAGCATAGAAGAATGAGGAAATTTGACAACGCAGCTTGGCAACAAACCTGAACAACCTTGTAGAGTTCATTCAACGATGTTCGCTTTAGCGCAAGTTGTGCATGGGCGAAGCATTGTTCAGCTTTACTTGGTGACTGGGTCACGTGGTCAGATACTTCTGTTGTTTGCGTGCGTGTGTATATACGCATACATACATGCGTGTGTATAATAACTCGGTGTTTGTACCTGAAGATTTGAAATCGCCAATAACCTTTCTCTCTCCCTCCCCCCCTCTCTCTCTCTCTCTCTCTCTTGTGTACCTTGGAAGGTTAAAAAACATATCAATCACCTTGCTAAGGGGATGCTGTGATATTTCACTTTTCTTCCGCTTTTAAAATAAATTCTTAAAAATTATCATTATCTTGATATTTAACGTTTTAATTTTTTTTTTTTTTTTGCAGTCACATAACAAGATCTACAACGTGGGAAGATCCGAGGAAAACTTTGGCCGCTCAAAATTTACAAGCTCAACACGCGGAATTACAAAATTCGAGAGGAAATCAACAGAATTCGGCGGCGGCGGCGGCGGCAAAAGCGACGACTTTGGGAATTTCGGCGGCTGGTCTGGGTCCATTGCCAGAGGGTTGGGAACAAAGTTCCACTCCCGAGGGAGAAATTTATTTTATTAATCATCAAACGAGAACGACATCTTGGTTCGATCCGAGAATACGTAAGCTCAACGAATTTTTCTTAACAATATACATTTCCTTATTATTTATTTATTTATTTACGTTAATATTAAAAATACAGTTAGTTTCAATCGCCTCAATGTTGAGGCTAAAAAAAAAAAATTTTTTTTTATTTGCATATTGATTTGTTTTTTCTCCTATACTGGTATATAAATTTTAATTTGTTGTTGTTGTGGTTGTTGTTGTCGTTATTCTTGTTTACATTACATGCATAATTTATTTGTTTGTTGTAAATTTTTCTCGGTTTTATATTATTAATAAGTCGGCCATTTTTTTTATGTATAATATTTTACCCTTTAAAAATTGTCTCTTCAGCCATATTTGTTTTAACCGTTTTTTTTTTTTTTTTTTTTGAATGTTGGTATTAGGTAGATGCCACGTCAAAATGTCCGATTACGTTACTAATTGAGTGAAGATATACGTTTTTTATAATTTGTTTTTTTTTTTTTTTTTTTTTGCAGCATTACAATTGCAAAGATCTCCAACTGGATTAATAATACCCCATGGAAATTCATGGATTCAATCGAGCGCTCAGCAAAGTTCACAAAATTGTCAACAAGAATTAAGAGTGCAATTATTGCAAATGGAGAGGGAGAGGCTGAGACAGAGGCAAGAGGAAATCAGAAGACAAGTAAGAGAGTTTTATTTTTTTTCAAATAGTCTGACGAAGGTGATAATGAAATTAATTCGAAAAAAAAAATTTCCAGCAAGAACTGATGACACGGACGACTGAACTTCCTCCAGGATCCATGGATCCCTTTCTATCGGGTCTCACCGATCACGGTCGTCAGGAGAGCACCGACAGCGGTTTAGGAATGGGAAATTCCTATTCATTGCCACAAACTCCGCAGGATATTCTGGACGAATCCATGGACGGCGTTAGCGGTAAGACACACAAAATACTTTTTTTTTATCTTCTTCTTCTTCTTCTTAAATGTTATTCACAACGTGAAAGAGAGAGATAGAGAGAGAGAGAGAGAGAGTTTTTATTAATGTTTTATTTATTAATAGAAGGAGGCCATACCGACATGACATCTTTGGATAATACTGACATTAGCACAGATGATTTGGTGCCAACTTTACTCGGGGAGGATTTGACATCTGATATTTTAGATGATGTTCAGTCTCTTATCAATCCGACGTCTACGAAACCGGACAACGTTTTAACGTGGCTTTAGAAAAGCCAAAAGCCTTTTAAAACGGTAACACACACACACACACACACACAGGAAAAAAAAAAAAGATTTTTATTATTATTATTATTATTATAAGTGGGCTACTATTTAGTTGATGTCCTTCATTTTGAATATTCATATCTGACTTTTTTTTTTTTTTTCTTTTTTCTTTTCTCCCTTTTATTATTATTATTATCGAAAGGAAATCAAGTAGATCAATAAGAATAAATTATATTTTATATAAAATGTTGTATTTGCAATTTAATTTTAATTTTTTTTTATTAAACTTTTTAATGATGAATATTAAGTGCCTGATTTTATTTTAAAATCTGTGTAAAAATTATTATTATTATTAACGTGGCTTATAAGGAATGCTAATAAATAATAATAATAATAATATTTTAGAGAAATAAAAAAAAATGATGCTCATTTAAATGAAATAATTTTATTAATTATTAATGCGAATTAAATAAAAAAAAAAGAAAAGAAAAGAAAAGAAAAGTCAGTTAAGGATATCATTATTATCATTATCATTATTATTATAAAATAAATAAATAAATAAATAAACGTGAGAGGAAGGTAGGAAGTACGAATTGGGGGAAAATTTTTTTATTTTTTTTTAAAAAATAAATTAAGAATTTTATATGTTAGTTTTTTTTTTTTTTTTTTTTTTTTTTATTATTCGTTTTAATTAAAATTAATTATTATTAAAATTATTATTATTATTTGAATAAGATCTTTTTAAGGAATTTTTTAATAATAATAATAATAATAATTTGTAAGACTTTTTTTTTTTTAAAAGTATTTTTACATGTGAGAATTAAAAAATAAATAAAATAAATAAATAAATAAGGACCATTATTGTGACATAATATGTAAGGTGCTAATTAATTATCAAGTTAAATTTATTATCATTATTATTATTATTATTAAATGTTTTTTTTAATGAATTTTAGTGACGTCAAAGTTGACAACTTGTAAAGTTGTTGAAAAAAATTTTTTTTTTAAATTTGTTTATTTTATTGTTACTTTTTTTTTACAATGTGCCTTTACTTATTCATTTTTATTTTATTTGTGGGGGGGTGGGAAATTAATTGAATGTTATTGTATCATCCTTTTGTTTTTCTTTTTGTAATTTTATATATATATATATATTTAATTGTTAAATTTGCCATTTTTATATGAAAATTTGACTAAAAATTTTAAAAAAATTGATTTTACACATGCACACACACACACACATGCACACACACACTTTGTAAAATAATTAGAAACAAATTAAATATATATATATATATATATAATTTTTTGCAAGAATACAAATTTTTATAAGAAAGAAAGAAAAAAAGAAAAATATTTGAAATATTTTATTACATGTTTTTTGAATAAAGCAATTGTAATAAAAAAAAGATGGAAAGAAATTTTTTTTTTCAAATTGTTTATAATAAATTAAAATGAACTTTTAATTATTATATTTAATAATTAATTTGTTCTTTACTTAATAATAATAATAATAAAATTTTGATTTATTTAAAAAAAGAAAAAAAAATTACATTTATTGTTTTTAGAATATAAATTTGTTGTATTATTGCAAAAATTTTATTGTTTATAAAAAAAATAAATAACCGGAAATGACGTTGTTAATTTTTTAACCGTTATTGGCATAAAGTTTAATAATAATTATTTGGATGATGTGTTTATAAAAAATTGTTTTTTTTTTTTTTTAAATGTTTGATTGTAATTAATAATAATAATATTATTATTAAACAGTTCCATTACTTTTATTTTATTATAAAATAATAATTTAAATGAAATTGTATCGAATTTTTTTTTTTTTTGTTATAAATAAAGAAGTAATGGACTGATTATATTTTCGCCATCTTTAATTTAAAACAAAAAAACGCACCTGAGGTTTATTTTATGTTTTTTTTATTAAAATATTTTATTGTTATTTTAAAATTTTTTTTAATTATTAATTAATAAATGAATTTTTTTAAATAATAATATTTTAAGGTTTTTTAAAAAAAAAAAAAATGTATTTTTATGTTTTAGTTGTAAACAAAATGAAATAAATAATTGTAATGAAATTCTTATTGTAAATAAGAATTTTTTTTTTTTTTTTTTTAATAATTAATTATAAAAACTTAAAGTTTTTGTTGTTAATAATAATAATATTAAATTACATTAAGCTTAAATTTTTTTATGTTTTTTTTTTTTTTTTTTTTTTTTCTTTAATTGAATTTTTTTTTTAAATTGATGATAAGAATGTACAGAATAATTTGAGTTTTTTTTTAAATAAAATAATGACCATGTGCATTATTAACCGTCCTTATTTGGCAATAAATTATTAAATTGTAATGCTCTTAAAGTACAATTTATTAATAATAATAATAATAATAATGATAAAAAAAATTTTGTCGAGTTTTTTATTATTATTAATTGATGTTATCGTAATATAATATTGTTTATAACAAAGATGATTTAAAGAAAAAACTTTTTCATTTTGTACTCTATCTCTCTCTTTGTCTGTCTTTCTCTCTCAAA